AGGCTTAGAACTTATGTGATTTTTGACAAATGGGTACAGTTTTAGTGCTTGTCTAACTATGGGAAGATGCAAGAAACTGAGTTCATAAAATTTTCTCCTGAAAATATGGAACTAAGGGCCAGTTCTCCCAGTTTTTCCCAGAGCACAAAATACCTCATCCTTATCCTGAATTCCTTTCTGGATGTACTGTAGATCACTGACCACAGTGGCTAAAGACTTGATTCTTCTAGAACTGGGTAGTGGGCAACATCCTTTATTTTCCAGTCCTCTACAAAGGTGCGTATAGTTATGGTTTTTTCAGTAGTCATGTATGGGTGTTAGAGTTGGACCATAAAGAAGGCTATTCATTCCCAGGTCAGGCAAGGAATTCACTGATGGGCCATTCAAGATGCTGTTGCTGGACCAGGCCCCTGTTAACAGTATCCAAAAGCCTCTGGACTGTCTGTCTTACTAGTCTGTTATGGTCTGGATAATGTTTCCCTCTTGTTTCTTTCATATCTAGAGTTATGCTATACAATTTTTTTTACAATTTTTTATCTTATAGAACTATACATTTGGTCAATTGCTTCAAGTTGCCTAGCTGTCACTTTTTTTTTTTAATTGTCACTATTTTTATTGGCAGCTTAGTCACACATTTGGTAATGGAAGAAACAGTAATCTTGTAAAATAGGCAGAATACAAGTAAGATAGCTAGTAATATTAATTAGGTCCTAAGTAAGCATTTAAGCTAAGAACTTTCATTAGGTATCTCTGCAGGTGATCTGACTTAGTCTGTTCTGCAACAATTGCTAGCTTTAAGGGAATGATATATTGGTATTGTACATAAAGTTTACCAACGATATCTGCACATACAAGGTGAGTGGTGAGTCATCTGATGCCTTACAGAAATGAGAAAGAAATGTAATCTTCTAAGGAGTTACAAGGCTGGTGTCAGAAGAAGAAAAATTTATGGTTGAGCAGCTGTTTCTGACATTGGAATGATCTGGTTAACTCATAATGCAGACACACACGGAACACAAGAGGGAAGAGAAGAGGCCCACGGGACTTCCCTGGTGTCCTGCAGTTAAGACTTTGTGCTTCCACTGCAGAGGGTACGGGTTTGATCCCTGGTCAGAGAATTAAAGTGAAAGTGTTAGTTTCTCTGTCATGTCCATCTCTTTAGAACCCCATGGACTGTAGCCTGCCAGGCTCCTCTATGTCCATGGAATTCTCCAGTCAAGAATACTGGAGTGGCCAGAAAAATAAATGACCCAATCAAAAAATGGGCCAAAGAACTGAACAGACATTGCTCCAAGGAAGACATACAGATGGCTAACAAACACATGAAAAGATGCTCAACATCACTCATTATCAGAGAAATGCAAATCAAAACCACAATGAGGTACCATTACACACCAGTCAGGATGGCTGCTATCCAAAAGTCTACAAGCAATAAATGCTGGAGAGGGTGTGGAGAAAAGGGAACCCTCTTACACTGTTGGTGGGAATGCAAATTAGTACAGCCACTATGGAAAACAGTGTGGAGATTTCTTAAAAAGCTGGAAATAGAACTGCCATATGACCCAGCAATCCCACTTCTGGGCATACACACTGAGGAAACCAGATCTGAAAGAGACACGTGCACCCCAATGTTCATCGCAGCACTGTTTATAATAGCCAGGACATGGAAGCAACCTAGATGCCCATCAGCAGACGAATGGATGAGGAAGCTGTGGTACATATACACCATGGAATATTACTCAGCCATTAAAAAGAATTCATTTGAATCAGTTCTAATGAGATGGATGAAACTGGAGCCCATTATACAGAGCGAAGTAAGCCAGAAAGATAAAGACCATTACAGTATACTAACACATATATATGGAATTTAGAAAGATGGTAACGATAACCCTATGTGCAAAACAGAAAAAGAGACTCCGAGGTATAGAACAGACTTGTGGACTCTGGGAGAAGGCGAGGGTGCGATGTTTCAAGAGAACAGCATCGAAACACGTATATTATCTAGGGTGAAACAGTTCACCAGCCCAGGTTGGGTGCATGAGACAAGTGCTCGGGCCTGGTGCACTGGGAAGACCCAGAGGGATTGGGTGGAGAGGGAGGTGGGAGGGGGGACCGGGATGGGGAATACATGTAAAAAAAAAAAAGATACACTATGGTTGTGAAAAAATAAATAAATAAATAAAATGTAAGATTTACTAAAAAAAAAAGAATACTGGAGTGGGTAGTCATTCCCTCCTCCAGGGATCTTCCTGACCCAGTGATCAAACCCACGGATCCTACATCTCCTGTATTGGCAGGCAGATTCTTTACCACTAGCACCACCTGGGGGAGAAGGCAATGGCATCCCACTCCAGTACTCTTGCCTGGAAAATCGCATGGACGGAGGAGCTTGGTGGGCTGCAGTCCATGGGGTCGCCAAGAGTAGGATATGACTGAGCAACTTCACTTTCACTTTTCACTTTCATGCATTGGAGGAGGAAATGGCAACCCACTCCAGTGTCCTCGCCTGGAGAATCCCAGGGACGGGGGAGCCTGGTGGGCTGCCATCTATGGGGTAGCACAGAGTCGGACACGACTGAAGCGACTTAGCAGCAGCAGCACCACCACCATCACATGGGAAGCACATGGCTGTAAGAGTTGGACCATAAAGAAGGTTGAGTGCTGAAGAAAAGATGTTTTGGAATTGTAGTACTGGAAAATACTCTTGAGAGTCCTTTAGACTGCAAAGAGATCAAACCAGTCCATCCTAAAGGAAATCAACCTTGAATATTCATTGGAAGGACTGATGCTAAAGTCAAAGCTCCAATACTTTGGCTGCCTGATGCAATGAGCTAACTCATTGGACAAGATCGTGATGCTGAAAAAGACCAAAGACAAAAGAAGGGGTTGGCAGAAGATGGATGGTTAAATAGCATCACCAACTCAATGGACATGAATTTGAGCAAATTCCAGGAAATAGTGAAGGACAGAGGAGTCTGTGCTTTAGACCATGGGGTCACAAAGAGTCAGACATGACTGAGTAACAACAATAACAGGGAACTAAAATCTGGCAAGCCATGAGATGTGGACAAAAAAAGACTTTCGGGTTCTTAGTTCCTAGGCCAGGGATTAAACCCAGATCCTTGGCAGTGAAAGCACACAATCCTAACCACTGTACCACCGGGGAATTCCCAAGCAGTTTTCTTGTCTTAAAATAGGAACTTTATTTCATCAAATCTCAAGACTGAATATTTTGATGCCCATTTTTTTGTGAGCCACTGGAACACATTAGGATTTTAGAGACAGAGGGTTGTGCCTCTTGTTGAGAGTTCAACAAGAGATGTAAACTCTCTGGAAAGCCATGAAAAACAAAAGTAAGGAAACTTTTTGAGGGTAGAAAAAAATACAAATATGGAAACATGCAGGTTAAATTTTTTTCCCTGTGGCAAAATCTATATTACATAAAAATTAGCACTTTAATCATTTTTAAGTGTAAGGGTCAGTGGCATTGAGTAAACTCACATTATTGTGAAACTATCACCACTACTCATCTCTAGAACTAAAAGCTATGACAAACCTAGACAGCATATTAAAAAGCAGAGACATTACTTTGCCAACAAAGGTCTGTCTAGTCAAAGCTATGGTTTTTCCAGTAGTCAAGGATGGATGTGAGGGTTGGAAGGGCTCCAAAGAATTGATGCTTTTGAATTGTTGTGTTGGAGAAGACTCTTGAGAGTCCCTTAGACAGCAAGAAGATCAACGCAGTCAATCTTACAGGATATCAATCCTAAACATTCATTGGAAGGACCAATGCTGAAGTTCCAATACTTTGGCCACCTGATGCAAAGAGTTGACTCACTAGAAAAGACCCTGATGCTGGAAAAGATTGAAGCTGGAGGAGAAGGAGTCAACAGAGGATGAGATGGTTGAATGGCATCACTGACTCAATGGACATGACTTTGAGCAAGCTCTGGGAGATGGTGATGGACAGGGAAGCCTGGCATGCTGCAATCCATGGGGTCACAAAGAGTCAGACACGACTGAGCAGCTAAACAACAACAACAAATACTGAAACTGTATCTGTTGAGCAACAAACCCCCATTCCCCTCATCCCCTGACAACACTGTTCTGATAAGACAAAACCACATTTTAGCTCCACGAATTTGACTGCTACAGGTACTTCATATAAGCAGGACTATTAAATATTTGATCTTCTGGGTCTGGCTTATCTCACTTAGCATAATGTCTTCACATTTAACCCATATCATAGCACACACCAGAATTTCATTCCTTCTTAAGGCTGAATGATATTCAGATTCAGTTTTGTATATATTTTAGTGCCAATAAAAATACACTTAAATTTAGAAATATACTATGACTATCATTTGGATTTCCCACAAAATTAACATGGGAAAGCTATGAACAATAGGGTATGTAAGCAATTATTCTTCAACATTGGAGAAAATAAAAAGTACCACTCCCAAAACGGTTCCTTTGAAATTCCTTGGTGGCTCAGACGGTAAAGCGTCTGCCTACAATGCGGGAGACCCAGGTTCAATCCCTGGGTCGGGAAGATCTCCTGGAGAAGGAAATAGCAACTCACTTCAATATTCTTGCCTGGAAAATCCCATGGACGGAAGAGCCTGGTAGGCTACAGTCCTTTGGGTCGCAAAGAGTCGGACACGACTGCGCGACTTCACTTTCACTTTCAGCTCTTGAAGTCTGGAAACTTTCTCAACCAGTCACTTCAAAGCCTACAAAGAACTACAACTCCCAGTAGCGAAACTTTCTCAACCAGTCACTTCAAAGCCTGAGAACTACAACTCCCAGTAGCTCTAGGTTCTGTCCCTTCGCTTCTCTCCGTCCCGCCCCGCCCCTCTGGCTCCAGAGACTGCATTTCCCAGAAACCCCTGGCAGGGTCGGAGACGGCACTCCCCGGGCGCCCCCTGGCGGCGCACTTTGGCGCGGCTTAAGTTCCCGGCGGCCTTCGCGGCGGGTTCCGGGCGTAAGGGCAGTTCGTGATGGCGGGGGCTGGTTCCGCCGCTGTGTCCGGTGCAGGGACGCCCGTGGCGGGGCCCGCAGGCCGCGACCTCTTCGCCGAGGGGCTCCTCGAGTTCCTGAGACCGGCTGTGCAGCAGCTTGACTCTCACGTCCACGCCGTCAGGTGCCCTGGAGGGCAGGTTGGGGCGGGGCCTCTCCTGGATTTGGCTTTTTAGGGGCGGGACCAAGAAAGGGCGGAGACAAGATGAGTTCGCTGGCTTTCTGGCGCGACTACAAGTGGGGAAACATTGGAAGCGGGGCGACTGGCGGGAGGGTGTGCAGGTGGAGGCAAAAGCTGGCTTCTCTGAGCACTTGGGAAACACACAGGGGAGGTTTTTGATTCCATTAACTGTCTGACCGTGTGGGCCTCGTACCTCTTTGCAGAGAGAGCCAAGTAGAGCTCCGGGAACAAATTGACAACCTAGCCACCGGTGAGTAAGCATCCCTGTATACCCTGGATCCTACAACTGACTTCAGTACCTTCTGTTTTGCTAACCTCTTGGGCTGGGTTCTTCTCACTTGCTTCTAGGGCTGCTGACTGACTCCTAAGTTTCTAGTGACAGTAGCCATTTGGTAAAGAGTTTTCCATAACATTTACTAGCTTACTTGTCCCAAGAACAAGGCCATTAGGTGTTTAGTTGCCTCTTTCATTGCCCAGAACTGTGCCGTATCAATGAGGATCAGAAAGTGGCCCTGGATCTCGACCCCTATGTGAAGAAGCTCCTTAATGCCCGACGACGAGTCGTCTTGGTCAATAACATCCTACAGAATGCCCAGGTAAAGGAATTTCCTGCCAACAGTAATTCAAGGTACTTTCCGGTTTTCAAAATGTGTCATCAAGTCCCCAACACAATGAAAGTCACCGTCATTTTTAGTCTTTGGGGAAAGGGAGTTGTCAACTAAAACTTAACTGTTCTTAACCTTGAGATGAAGCAAGCCTAAGATGTTTTCCAGCACCTAGTTGACAGGGAGCTCTAAATCCTTTGACAGGATAGTTATCTGATTCCAAATCTTGTTTTGTAGGAACGGCTGAGGCGGCTAAACCACAGCGTGGCCAAGGAAACAGCCCGAAGGAGAGCAATGTTGGATTCAGGAGTTTACCCCTCTGGTTCCCCAAGCAAGTAACAGAAGATGGCCCACGGCCACAGTGTAGCACGACTACTATTCCCCAGCTGCCTGTTTTCCTCCAGGATGCCCTGTAGGTGTTGGGGCATCAAAAAGGCAGCCCTGTGGTTTGTTTGAAACACTTCAAAGTCTTACCCATTTATGTGGGGCCCAAAGAAACCTGTGTACAGCAGGACTCAGGATCCCAAAGGATTTATTATAGCTCTTACTTCCAGGAATGAGTTGAGGCTTCTGCATTTTTTTTCTAAGCTGTGTCAAGGCCCACTTCCTGTACCATCTCTGAGCCTCATTAACAAGGGAGGGGCTTCCTGTTACATGCCAGGTTGTTGGACCTGGGCAGAATGTCCTCTGTGACTTCCAGTTTTCCTTTGTTTACAATAAGGATTGAGAGGAAAGGACAGGCAAAGTCAAGGTTAATGACCCATCTACTCCCTTTTGTTGATTGCACTGGCTTGACTACTGTAGGCAGTGTTACTAGAAATATTTCATTCAATAAATGCTTAAATGGTATTCCAGTTTACTCTGGTATATGGAAGTGTTCCAAGAGTTTTCTACATTAATTCAAATATAGCTTCAAATTGAGATCTAGCATTAACAATGAAAAAAACTCAAGTATCATTTTCAGTGAAGAGTACAGAAAGTAAATGGAAGCAAAATGATTGCCAGATGCCAAGGAAAAACAGCACCAAGAGCCCTACTAGGAAGTACTTTAATCTTTTTTCTTAGAAAAAAAAAATCCAAACACTAACAGTTCACAACATTTCAACAACAAAGTACTGGCTTAGAGAGGTTTCAGGAGCTGGGGACTCTAGAGTATTAGGAAGAAAAGTTGGTATCTTGCTTCACTGTAGATGGATGGCACAGGTCATAAACGGGAGACTTCTGATTACTAAGACAGTTTCAGAACCCAGTGGAATGATACTTCCGTCTATAGTCTTTCTTTAAAAATCTTCCTTCCTGTCTCCCTTACTCCCTCAGAAATGCCACCACATAAAGCCCAGTAGCAGTCAGCTTAGGCTCCAGTCTTCCCCTTGGGTAAGAAAGGGGGTGGTGAGAGAGAAGGAGGTCACTCCTGAGTCTCCATGCTTTCCTCTTCCTCTCCTTGAGGTGGCTCTTCTGTATTCTCCTCCTCTTCCTCTCCTTCCTTCTTCTCTGGTGGCTTCTCGTAAGCCTTTTCTGAAGGTGTCACTATCACTCCATCCCAGGTAGATATTTCAGAAGCAAGATCTAGAAGAAAAGGTGACTTCAGACAAGTAGCCCAACATCCAAGTCATGACCTACACAGTGGACATATGAAGACCACTGAGTGGAGTTACTTTGTAGATCACAGAGTATCATGAAGAAGCCCTGCCCCACAGTGGTCACTCACAGCTGGCATCACCCTCCTGGCCAAGGATCTTCCTAAAGCCACCATGTGAGAGAATTCGGACCAGAGTCTGAGCTGTGTAGCAGACCATATCCTGAGGGAGGGCAAAGTAAGAGTAAATTAGCAAGGAGAATCAAAATACTTTCTCATTTTCATGACAACTGAGATGAAGAAAACTTTTAATTTCAAAACCAAAATTTGTGAGAATCCCCAAATCTCTGACCACTAAGATCACATTTCCTTTGCTTTCTGACAAAGAATATTCAAGAGGGGAGCACAATGGACCATTTCAGAGCTGCACCAATATACCTGCTGTTCCAGAGTCATGACTGTGTGTACTCTGAAGTTGCCACTCTCACAGGGGTCTGTGATACCCACCGACCCTGGCAGGAACAGTCCTGCAGCCAGAATCTGCAGGCATCGTCTGAAACACGGAGAGGTATTAGAAGAACACACAAGACAACGTACAGTCAGACCCCAAACCCAGAGCAGCGTGCTATACCTGTATGCCACGTTTAGGGCCAAAGGCTGTCTGGTGGGATTGTTCATCACGGCATAGTGTCCCTACAAGAAAATCTGGTAAGTGTGCCATAAAGTGGCAATTCTGTCTTCAAACAAATTAAAACTTTAAACCATCATGAAGAAAACTTTCATGTTCAAGAAGCAGTTTTGAAATGACTGCTCATTCAGTAATTTCTCTCCATTACCACATTAATGACAATAGTAATGAAAAAGATAAAGGAGCAGTAATAACTACCCATTTAACTGAATACTCCAAAAACCCAAGAAATAATCAACATTGAATCTATTGGATTACTTGTCCACTAATGAGCTTTTTTTTTTTTTGGTCCCCCCATTCCTCTAAGATTTCTTTTAATCTGTACCAAGTTTTATCGCTTCTCGGCCTTTTGGCTAAGATCAAGTGTAATCTGTTCCAAGTTTCATTTTATGGTAGGTTTCAGACTAACTGCTGATTCATATGGTGGATCAGGAATTCCATTTGGCCTTCATTACTTACAAGTAGGTCAAGTATCCAAGGAGTGAGGGGCTCAAAGCCAGGAAAACGAATCCTCAGGTCCTTCAGCAGTCTGATGAGAACTTTAACTCTGAAGGTAAGAGGCACCAGGAATTAAAAGCAGTAACAGATCATGAAACAAATCAGACACTATAACAAAAAGGAAACAGAAACAGACCTACAGATACAGAGAACAAGCTAGTGGTTACGAATGGGGAGAGAGAAGGGGAAGGGGCACAATAGGAGTCATGGGATTAAGAGGTACAAACTACTACGTATAAAATAAATGCTACAAGGATACACTGTACAAGACGGGCATTTTATAACCTTTAAAAATTAAAGCAATAAAATTTTACTTCCATACCTAAGGCACAGACCTGAAGCTACTGCCAGAATTATTCCCTTCTTTCCCTCAACCTAAGTTGTTTGAAGTGAAGTGAAAGTCACTCACTTGTGTCCTACTCTTTGTAACACCATGGACCATACAGTCCATGGAATTCTCCAGGCCAGAATACTGCAGTGGGTAGCCATTCCCTTCTCCAGGGGATCTTTCCCACCCAGGGATCAAACACTAGGTCTCCCACATTGCGGGTGGATTCTTTGCCAGCTGAGCCACCAGGGAAGACCAGGAATACTGGAGTGGGTAGCCTATCCCTTCTCCAGGGGATCTCCCCAACCTAGGAATTGAACTGGGGTCTCCTGCATTGCAGGTAGAGTCTTTACCAGTTGGGCTACCAGGTACTTCAGGTAAAAAAAAGTCAAAATCCAGGCAGAAAATCAGTCAAAAACTACTGTCAGAGGAAGGTTGGGTTATCATGCTGTTCAATGTAGTTAGAAGGATTAGGATATATCTTCTTGCAAATAGGGAGGGACTCACGTGGACTGAGAAGCATTTTCCTCAAACCAGCGGGCATGTCGGATGGCTGCTAAGGCACTCTGTAACACCTTGATATCCACTAGAAGACAAGCATGACATCCACCAAGATGAAACATTCAGATTACTGAGCAAGCAATTCAATTCCACTGCCACGCTTCAAGAACTCAGGAGGAGAACAGCAATTTAGCAATTCCTTGAACTAATCCCCATGTCCTCAGATCAGCAAATCCCCAAATCACTGTTCCTTCCCTAAGCCAGATCTGGAAGCATGAGAGAGCTCCAATTTTCTCTAAAAGCCTACCCCCTCCATAAATATTTCCTCAGTCCTTTTTCTTAAGTCCTCAAACTGCTTTCTTGGCCTGGCGGTTTTTGACAATTTCATTAGCAAGCTGATAAAACTGCTTCCAAATCACAAAGGAAGACAGCAAAGTTTGGGGGAAAACTGGGGTCCCCAAAAGGTCTCATGTGGAATAGCAACAAATGAAGTAAATTCAACAGCATTTGATACCATGTTTTGAATTCCCCCCAAATTTCACAGCAGTACAATAAAGGACTAACAGTGGAGTTCTGGGTCCAGTTTTCGGAGGTTTGGTGGCACTGTTGTAATGAGAATCTTCACTGTAGCATCAGAAGAGCTGATTTCAAAGCCAGTTTCATTGGTCAGCATGGTCAAAACTGAAACAAGAAAAATCAAAAGTTGCACTCATTTCCATTAGATGACCAAAGGTAAACCCAGGATGAGGGTAGGGGAACAGATATTTATTTATCTATTGATTTATCTAACAGATCTATCCATCTGTTATTGTTTATTTGTTATTTACTCAGCTATGGGATCTTAGTTCCCCAACCAGGGATCAAACCCATGCCCCCTGCACTGGTAGTGCAGAATCTTAACAACTGGATCACTAGGGAAGTCCCAGGTTTTTAAAAATAGCAACAGTCCAGAGTCACAATTGAGAATACAGAATTTTAAAAGTAAGGGAAATCAATTAGATTTTGAACACTGGTGATCTCTGCTAGAAACTTCCCCAACATAAAACTGCACTCACTCTTCCTTCTAGCCCGACCTGACTTTGTTAAAATGTACTTATAAACCTGGCTTCTATGACCACTGTATTACATGTTCAGCAACAAACTCAAAACCTTCAGAAGGATCCTGTGCTCTTAGGCTCTCCACGACCTTGTTTCCTAGTGCAGCAACAGCTTCCACTAGATTGAGAGAGAAAAAGTGGTAATAAAGATTATAATTATTTTAGTAGACTTTCTATATGTCTCAAAGCTACTCTGCACTCTGATTTCTGTGGAGCAAGGACAAGCAACTGAATACACACTTTTACAAGGGGAAGTTTGTAAAAACAGAGAAACTGAAGGCTCAGCGACACCGCCTCCTTTACACACACCTTTTTTCCACAGTAGGGATTTTTATCAGTGGGACTAATGCCATTTTGGCCTGGATAATTCTTTGTTTGGGGTTGGGAGGTAGGGTCCGTCTTGTCCATTGTAGGATGCTTAGCAGCAACCCTGGCCTCTACCAGAAGACATTAGCCTCAAACATCTCCAGACACTGCCAACTGTCCCCTGGGGAGCAAAGTGTCCTGCAGTAACTGGTCATACATTCTTTCACATACAGCACACATTTAGATCCCTATGCCTCGAATCCAACTGCTATGTTCTGCTGCTGTGGCCAGAGAGAGGCACACTCACATGTTGGCAAAATCTTTAGGATCACCACCAGGTCAGCTACATTGTGTCCTGTAGTCATCGTTCCCTTTTTATATGATCCGACTTGTCGGACTTCTTCAATTTGCTGTTGGAAAAGGGATTTAAGAAAGAAAAAACAAAACTTAGAAGTGAGAAGCTTATTACCCAGATTTGGAAGTAGCAGAGTTCAAATCATATCCCAAAACGAGCAATGAAAAGCCTGATTCATTACAGCTGATAGTCATGATGAATCTGGTCCCCAAGACCAGGACTACAAAGGAATTCCACTGTACTTTCCCATTCCAAGAGTGGCTTTGAATAAGCATCTGAAGAATTAAGCAACAGGAACCAAGGAAACTTTCACACTACCATGGCTTCCCTTTCCTAGGACTAAATCTTCAAAAACTCACCACTTCAAATGTCCCTGGAGCCACAATCAAATTGTCAATCACATTGTTTATTTTTGTCACCAGGGAAAGGATAGAGGCCTGAAAGATAGCAGGAAACAAAAATACCCTCAGGTGAAATACTAAGCAACTTTTCATCAAGTTTGACTATTTTCCCCAATTCCTTCAATAGGAGATGAATCAACACCTACACAGGATTCTGAGAACACCCTGACCCTCCCAGCCTTGAATATGCCAGAAGAGAAAACTTTCTGATCCCAAAGACAGACTCCCCAGTGATAATATGAATGCACATGTAATCTGTTTATACACTCACCCACAATGAAAAATTACCCACAATGAAAAATAATTAAACTTATGGAGTTCAGGCTCTGATAACAGTAACCTCACCAAGTGACTGTTTACTTCTCTAGCTTCCTTCATGAAATCTCAGGAAGAAAACCAACAGAATATACCTGTTCAGCAGAATTAGGAGCAAGGTCCTGATTCCTCTTCAACAAGGCCTCACTGAAGGAAGTTTCATCAGGTGCTGGCTTGACCCGGGGAAAAGCCATTTCACACTAGACAAGAAATAAACTACTACATACTACTTACCAAAAATAATATACAACAGATTTTGCTGTTGCCACAACACAAAAAAAGAGAATTCTAGAATACTTATGCTCTCACTACCCTTATATTAACAGATAAGGCAGTGATACAATTAACTGTTCAGACCAAAGATTATAATCATGTTACTGTCAACTGTAATGAAGGAACTATCTTCCCCACCCAGGTTACACTGTTTCTGTATGTAAAGCAACACAGATGACTCAAAACCTCCCTTTTCCTACTCCAACTACCATATGACTTCATTAACAGGGAAATGCCAGGTTCCAAGAAACAACAACTGAATAGGGGCCAAGGTACTCACCAAATAGAAGTCAAATGGAATATGTGGCACAAAGGGCCTGAACCTAAAAAGCAGAAACACAATCCAGATTACTCACCACATAAATCAAATTGACTTCACATCATGGGGCCAAACTCATTTATCAAGAGAGCATGAGAAGAATACTTTTAAACTACAGCTGGATCTCAACAAGGCAGGTAAGATTACTCCACTCCAAACTCCTATTTAGATGACTGAAACGGAAACTAATGGGCACAGAGATGCTAAAAACTGGCACTCACCCTCCTCCTGGGCCTCCTCTGGAACCAAAGCGCCCGCCACGACCTCGGCCTCTGTCACCCCTAGAAATGCATTATTAACACATTTTAACTTTGTCTTCACCTCGTTGAAGCAACCTCCTCGATACCGGCCATATGATTTCAAGTTAGCCTACCTCTATCGCTCTGCGCTTCCCTTTGGAAGCCAAAGGATCCCATTCTCACTTACACTTCTACACCTTTCAAATGTCCAGGCTCACTCCCCATGACTGAATAACTGAATCACATCAAATCACATTAAATACTGACGAGGCTCAGAGAGCCCTACAAGATACACCCCATAACTGCCGGGTTCCGCCAACCCTAATAATTCGGAGACTAATGTGATTGCAGTAAATGTAGTAAAAGCATCTATCAGGCGTATCTGTATGTCAAGCGCCTGGCATTGAGGATGAATGAGACACGTTCCAGCCTTCTCAGTCCAAATAGGGGATGTGGAGGTGCTCCTCCTGGAACCTGAAGACACCCCCTAATCTGAACCCCCCCAGAGATCGAACAGTCGAAACCGCCTCCCGACTCCTGGGCCCCATCCCCCATCCCCGGCTAAGTTTCCCCGCCTCCACCGCCCCCGACCTCCCCCAACCTCTTAGACCCGGAGTTCCCAGGTTTCCGAGCAACCCCCAGGTACATGGCCCTTTCCAGTCCGCCGACTCCTTTCGGACCAACCTCCTAAAGTTTTCGGTCGAATACCTGAAACCTCTCCAAAGCACCCCACAGCCCTTACCTCATGGCGTCCTAGATCCCGAACAATGGAGGCCACACCAACCGCCCCTTTCCTCTGGGGACCCGAGAACTGGAGAGGCAGCTTGCCGGCGTGTCCCAACAAACTCCAGCGCGATTGGCTCCCGCCGTACTCCGCTGCCTGTGCCTATTGGTTTGTTTTGGCAAACCGGTTTATTGAGCCAATGAAAAGGGCCTGCTATGTCAGTAACTAGCCAATAAGAACGGGTTAGACATTAACGCCCTTTTGCAGACACTAGGGAGCGCTGTGTAAAGAAGTTAGGATGGCTGACATCTAGAGACCTTTCTATGTGATTCTTGGAAGCTGCGAAATTGTGGAAGCAGAGTGGCGCAGCGGAAGCGTGCTGGGCCCATAACCCAGAGGTCGATGGATCGAAACCATCCTCTGCTAGTGGTGTTTTTCTTTTTCTCCTGGGACAGTTTTTGTTTTTAAATTTCTTCAGTAAATGTGACTACCGTAATCCCACTTTTTTCTCCCTCAAAAATGCAGACTTTAAAAGCTGTTTTTGCCATCCGCGAGTGAAATGGAAGAAGCAAGCGAAATCATGTAGGAAGGGATTTTAGGTGACTGTGAACACTACATGTCTGGATGTGGTTCATAGAAGCTCTTGAGGCAGGAGAAACGGATATGAGTATGTATGTGTGTTGATTGACTCAGAGAGGGAAAGTACTGACGGTGAGGGACTAGAAGGGAAACTGAGACAGCCTTTGGAAAGAGAGCTCAGAAAAGGAGGGCAAGGGAAACGACAGGAGAGAAGGACCAGCCCCCTGCCATTTTTTGTCCAGTTTCCTCTCCTTTCTCCTTTCCTCATTCTACAGCCTCTCTGGCAGAGTCCACCTTTATGCAAAGTTTCACAGCCACGTATATGGATGTACTGTGGTTGCATTTACATCAATTCATATTACTATGTGCTTTTTGTCCTTCCTATAATCCTACTTATCCTCCTTGCCTCCTTTTGCATTGATTACTATTTATTATTCCTTCCCTCCTGTCAATTGAGAGTTCCCACTCTTTTTCTACATTTCTAGTGGTTACCCTAAAAATTATGACGCGCCTCCTTGATTGTCAAAGTCTAACTTTATAAAATCTTTTCCCTCCTCGAGAAAAATGCAAATAATTTGATTCCGTTTACCACCATCACTCCCTCCAGAATTGTATATATTGTTGTGTAACTCCTTTAAGTACTATATTGGTGTATTATTTACTACAGCAGAATGCACAGACCTTAAGTCTACAGCTCGATTAATTGTGAGTAATATATTTTACCCAGGTAACCACCACACAGATGAACATAAAACATTTTTATCACCTCAAAAAATTCACTGATACTCCTTTGCCCTTCTCCTAGAGGCAATCACTATTCTAATTTCTATTATCAGAGATTACTTTGCTGTTGTTCACATAAAAGGACTCACATCCTATGTACTCTTTTTCTGTCTAACTTCTTTTGCTTGACCCATTTAAAAATTCTTCTGAAGTTTTGCCTCTGTCAGCAATTTGTTCATTGCATAAATATTCCACAGTTTGTTTACCCATTCTCCTGTGTTGAATACAGGACCTCTGACTGGCTGAGACACAAGCTAATACATTTGGGTTGTTACCAGTTTGAAGCCTTTATGAAGAAAGCTGCTACGACCATTTTTGTACAAGATTCTTGTGAGATGCAATTGTTCCTGTTGGATAAGTGTAGGTGTATATGTTTACAGAATTTAAATTCCATATATATTTTCAATCCCATAGGACATTAATGCTTACTAAGACAATGCTCACTGAGATTTACCATTTTTAAAGCTCTTTATTCCTTCCTGTATCCGCAACACTATGGAATAATACTCCTTCTTGAGAATTAGTGCCCTTCTGCTGGTGGCTAACTTTCTTGTTTTCAGCTTCTCTGAATACATCTTTATTTCACCTTTGTTTTTGAAGGACATTTTCTCTAGATATGTAATTCCAAACTGGAAGTCATTTTCTTTTTTTTTTTTTTTCATTTATTTTTATTAGTTGGAGGCTAATTACTTTACATCATTGCTATGGTTTTTGTCATACATTGAAATGAATTAGCCATGGATTTACATGTATTCCCCATCCTGGTCCCCCCTCCCACCTCCCTCTCCACCCAATCCCTCTGGGTCTTCCCAGTGCACCAGGCCCGAGCACTTGTCTCATGCACCCAACCTGGGCTGGTGATCTGTTTCACTCTAGATAATATACGTGTTTCGATGCTGTTCTCTTGAAACATCCCACCCTCGCCTTCTCCCAGAGTCCACAAGTCTGTTCTATACATCGGAGTCTCTTTTTCTGTTTTGCATATAGGGTTATCGTTACCATCTTTCTAAATTCCATATATATGTGTTAGTATACTGTAATGGTCTTTATCTTTTTGGCTTACTTCGCTCTGTATAATGGGCTCCAGTTTCATCCATCTCATTAGAACTGATTCAAATGAATTCTTTTTAATGGCTGAGTAATATTCCATGGTGTATATGTCCCACAGCTTCCTCATCCATTCGTCTGCTGATGGGCATCTAGGTTGCTTCCATGTCCTGGCTATTATAAACAGTGCTGCGATGAACATTGGGGTGCACGTGTCTCTTTCAGATCTTGGAAGTCATTTTCTTTCAGCACATTTACAATATTATTTTACTATTTATGGCTTCCATTTTTGCTGTGAAAAAAAGAGTTGTTAGTCAAATGACTGCTCTTCTGAGAGTAACCAATCCTCTTTTTTCTGATTGTCTTTAAAGATTTTAAAGTTTGCCAGGAGAAATATCAATGGCCTCAGATATGCAGATGACCCCACTCTAATGGCAGAAAATGAAGAGGAACTAAAGAGCCTCCTGATGAAGATGAAAGAGGAGAGTGAAAAAATTGGCTTAAAACTCAACATTCAAAAAACAAAGATCATGGCATCCTGTCCCATCATTTCATGGCCAATAGATGGGGTAAAAGTGGAAACAGTGGCAGATTTTATTTTCTTGGGCTCCAAAATGACTGGGGATGGTGCCTGCAGTCATGAAATTAAAAGACACTTCCTCCTTGGAAGGGAAGCTATGACAAACCCAGACAGCATATTAAAAATCAGAGACATCACTTTGCTGACAAAGGTCCCTACAGTCAAAGCTATGGTTTTTCCAATAGTCATACAAATTTAACAATTGGATCATAAGGAAGGTTGAGCACTGAAGAATAGATGCTTTCAAATTGTGGTGCTGGAGAAGACTCTTGAGAGTCCATTTGGACTGCAAGGGGATCAAGCCAGTCAATCCTAAAGGAAATTAACGTTGAATACTCATTGGAACGACTGAAACTGAAGTTGAAGTTCCAATATTTTAGCCTCCTGATGTGGAGATCAGACTCATTGGAAAAGTCCCTGATGCCGGGAAAGATGGAAGGCAAAAAGAGAAGAGGGAAGCAAAGGATGAGGTGGTCAGATAGCATCACCGACTCAATGTGCATGAATCTGAGCAAACTCAGGAGATAGTGAAGGACAGGGAAGCCTGGAGCACTGCGGTTCACAGGATTGCGAAGAGTTGGACATGAGTTAACGACAGAACAACAATCACAGTGTCACACAGTAACTAATTTGTTTTAGATTTAAAAGTAAGACCAAGACTTTTTCAATTACACTCTCACATCCAGCAAATTGTATTATACAGTAAATATTTTCAATGACAAATAAGTGATGCCAGGTACTCAGTAATGGATTTAATTATGATCCTAATACCATAATCAGTGAAGGACTAGGAAGCCTGGAGTTTGTAGTCCATGGAGTCGCAAAGAGTCGGACATGAGTCAACTCATTGGAAAAGACCCTGATGCTGGGAAAGATTGAAGGCAGAAGGAGAAAGTGGGGAGAGAGGATGAGATGGCTGGATAGCATCATCGACCCAATGAACATGAGTTTGAGCAAACTACAGGAGACAGTGAAAAACAGGGAAGCCTGGCGTGCTGCAGTCTATGAGGTCACAAGGAGTCAGACATGACTGAGAGACAAATCTTGTATTTCCTGCAGTTTCACTCTGATGGTTCCAGGTATGGATTATTATTTTTAATCTTGAGATTTGTTGAGCTTCTTGAATCTGTGGCTTGAGGTATATATTTTTTAAGTTTCTCAGCCACTGTCTCTTTAAATATTGCTTCTACCCTATTATTTCCCTCCTTCCTTAGCTCCAAATAAAGGTGAGCCAGACTTTCTCATGATATCTTTTATACCTGCAACCTCCTCTTTTTTCCCCCTAACCTCCTCTTTTATATTTTTCATTCCTTTTTGTCCATGCTTAAT